TGAACGTAGCCTAAGAGTAAAAAAACTAGGACAGCAGGTTGACTTTAATTTCATTCCCACCGACTGGATTCATTGCAATCACTCTCAGACTGATCGCCAAAGGTTTACAAATAACTGCAGTCTAATTTTTCATGCAGATTGCAAACATGTTGCAATCAATATCAGTCAGTCTGCGCAGATGAGTGAAAATCGCTTGAGGTCCATCTCTTTGCAATAGAGGACTCGACTTAACTGGTTGCATTCTGGTTATATTCCCAGAATTCCGCATCAAAGTTACTCGGCACCGATGTCACTCTGCATTTAAACTGCCATCCTGCAGTAACTAGAGAACTATTTGTTAAGGAATTTTTATTTTAAATTCATGATGTTCTGGCTAAACTCTGAATGTAAGTAGTGAATATGATTTTCATTGTATAATAATAATAATAATAATAATACATTTTATTTATAGGTGCCTTTCAGACCCTCAAGGTCACCTTACAGTAACACGTAAACATACCATAAAAAAACATAAGAAAAATGTATATATAGCAAACATGGTAGATAAAATTTAGACATAAACAGTCATAAAAGTATAAAAGCAAATGTAAAAACTGAGCAAGGTAAAAATGGCCTAAGACAGATCAGGTGTATGCAATTCTAAACAGATGGGTTTTGAGTAGTGATTTAAAAGTGGTGAGACAGTGTGTGGTCCGTAGAGCAAGTGGGAGTGCATCCAAAGTCTCGGTGCAGAACAACTAAAGGCTCTGAGTCCAATGGTAGTCAGGCGAGCAGGTGGAACTGACAGAGGGGAAGCTGAAGAAGAGCGGCGTGTACGAAGGGGCGAGTATTGGTGGAGAAGATCGGATAGATATGGAGGAGCGAGGTTATGAAGCGCTTTGAAAGTATTTGTCTTTGTATGTAGACAACAGCAGATTTGGTTTTTTCCCTCTTAACTTATCACAGTTCATCACTATTATCACAAGCAGATTGCATGCAATTGCTAACTTGACTCTATTCAGTTGCATACTGATAGTCCCGTTGCCATCTAGATGCACAAACATTGTTTTGAAGACACTGACTGATTGGTCAGAGTGTCATAGACCTGGTACCATATCGAAGCCATGGCATCACAATCACTGCACACAGTTACAATAGGTCTCTCTTTCTATACAAAGCGTTGAAAGACAAAAAGACTTAAACAAAAAACTCTGGTTTTTGCATTTATAAAAATTACAGGCCACTAAATATCTGCCTTAATGAGGACTTAAGATTTGCCTGCTTTTTTGTAAACCTTGTTGTTCATTGACTTTAATTCAAATTCTTCACGATGGAAATTACTGTCTGTTACCTATGTAATTGATTTAAATTTAAATTTGACAAATATTGTGAGCTAAAAGGCTGTCTTTATATCCCAACAGCCTGGTCCAAGTTTGAGAACTAACACTCATATAAACAACATAAAAACAAAAAGACTAATGCAACATTATATGAAACTAAAAATGTCTTAAATCAGACACACTGAAGAGAAAATCTTGTTAAAAAATTGCCATAATTAAAAATATGTTGTAACAATGACAAAAAGGTGCATTTAATAAGCTAAACCCTCATTTGCTTTACAATAATTTATTATTATATAGTGAACGCTTATATTAAGTGTTTACCTTTTTGCAGAGTTGCCGTGAGATGTTCACCAAGCAGCTGCTTCTCCACAGCAGCGATGAGCGGTTTTCTGAGAGGAGGAAAAAGCTCAGGTTACGCATCGATCTCTGTCACTGTTTATTTGCTAAGTGAGCGCTTCAGTCCGACACTCACTGTGTGCTCTGGTCTAGGTACGTGATGACTCTGTCAGCCTCCTCCTCCAAGCGCTTGTTAAC